GTATATTTCATGGAATTATTGATTTGACTAGGCAATCAGGGAATGAAGCGAAGCAAAGGGAGCGAAGTGAAATGATGCGCAGTGGAGAAGGCGTGTGAACCAAATCCATTTAATCAAGGATTAACCAATATTTATGGTCACACAAAAATAGGCAACATAAATGTGATGAGTAGGGTAGGAAGTACACACATATACGCTCATATAAGAACAGTCAGGGTTGATAAGTGAATAATTAACAAGGTCAAAACGTGACTCAAAAAGAATGAATAAATTGGTCTGTTCAGAAGCTGGAATAAGATATATGGGCTTAACATATCAAGCGACACTACAATCCTATGCACTTGCAGTGCCTCTTCCTGATTTCTTCCTCCGCTGGAATCCGGTTTGTTCCCTCTCACAGTGGGTTATTGCTGATAGTGTCTGGCAAACGGATCCGAAGTATTTTGCATAGGCAACTGTTAATAAGCACCTGTATCTTCTGGGTGATGGCTTTCGTAGTTCTCCAGGTTTCCGCCCTATACAGTAGAACTGTCTTGACATTTGTATTGTTATTCAGTCACATATATGCTGCTCTTGCCTTGTCGATTCACGCCTTCACATTCGCATCACATCCACCGTGTTCACCAGTGATGTTACCCAGATATGTAAGAGTTTTTACATCCTCCAAAACTTTTCCCTCAGGCGTGATTTGATTAGTGAGTGCTGTGTTGTATCGCAGAATCCTGATAAACGTTTGCGTTTCACATTATATAACCTAATGATAGTCAGTAGCCAGTTTCATTTTTTATCATTTTTAAGCATAAAGCTTGTCATGCTGCGTTGGTGTGTAGCATTGCATTTCACATGAATTCGTATTATTAAATTTTAGTGACCTACTTTTATCGAGAGAACGCGACTGGTTTAATGAAAACAATTATTATTATAACCTATTGTACCAGGGATTGTTTTACTGTACTTGTTTGTTTAACTGTACTAAAGATATCCATTTTTCCTCCATTATTATTCCTTCCTTTGATTGTGACCTTGCACGAATTCGGTTACGCTCAGTAATCACACTTGTACTCCTTTGGTATGATCTTGGTATTCTTTCGATACCACGAGATCGCCAACGAATACATCTCTACCACAGCCATCAACTGCCTTCTGATATTTGGCTTACGGGGGATCTTATCGGTTAACTGGCACGTAGTCTTCCTGTAGTGGTGATCATAGTCAACCGCGACTCGACACCACACTACAAAGTTTATTTGTGAAAATAATTCTAAATTGCCAATATTTGTAAAGGGTTACTCTCGATTGTTTAATTTAATTAAATCTTTGTTTAGTCACAGTGATCCACGTGTTTTGTGCCTCTAGTTCCTGTTTCAAATATTGATAGTTAGTGAGGCTTTAAGTAGTTCATAGATATTACATAGATTATCAAAATGGTCTATAAATAATCACCATTTCAAGAATAAGTTTTTCTTTGAACAATGTATCCATGTGTTCAAAGCATCGGACATCTATGGGCTACTCAGTAGTTGAGTGAAAAGTATTGACAGAATCAACACTCCTTTTCTTCATTTCATGGTTTGTGAATTCTCTGTTTTGTTCGTTATTCATCTTGATTATTTTAATCAAAAACTGTTCACACAAACTTTTATTTTCACAAGTTTCTAGTTTTGAAAAATAATAATAAGTGAAGTTCAAGCAGGTCCGTTGTGAGATATCAGCTCACTGAAGACAATGGTATACGGTAGCGCAACTTCGTGGATTGGTTGGAGTTAGACAATAACACTGTTGGGTGCCCGCTCAATGGTCTGTTTGGTTAAGCACTTGGCGTGAGACTGATAGGACCTGAGTTCGAATCTCGCGGTGTGTGGGATCGTGGATGCGCACTGCTGAGGAATCCTGTACTAGGATGAGTTGGCCGTCCAGTGCTTCCAGGTTTTCCATGGTGGTCTAGCTTCAATTGACTCATGATTTCAATCTGTGAAACTTCTACTCATTAACTTACCTATTTCTGTGACCATACTTTTTCTGGCTACATTTCATTTCAAGTTAAACATTTTATTTCATCACTTCATGTAATGTTATTTCCACAGTTATTCATGTTTCCAATGATTAATTAAGCACATAACAACTATATACTTTCATGTTCCAAATAAGGATAACACTTCAGTGTCTTGGATCATGATCTTCTTTACTGTTTTACCAAACTACTATCACCTTCATTATTATATCATATGTAAGGACTAATTTATAACTGAATGGCTTCTGTTCATTTTGTACTGTTTCTTTGAATCTCCTCATTAATGTCTACGATTGCAATTGATCAGTCTATTATTGGAATATGTGCATCTTGTGTGGATTGCCTTGATGGTACCTTAAATTAAAAGCATTATAAGCAAAGATAGATCGTGGCTAGCAGTGAAATCCAGGAAGTGTGTGTTTCGTCCTATTCGGAACTCGTCAGCTGGATGTACCTACTAATGAATTTAATCTTCAGCCCATTATAAAAGCTAGTGGCTATCAGGATGCAGTGGTGGCGTTTCTTAACGAACTGACATAGTGGATGAACAAATCTGTTATACAGAGATCATCAGTCAAATAAAAGACTGTTGGTTCAACTGTTGTTTAGTATGGTTTATTTTAGAGATAAGGTTGAGTTTTCAAGAAAAAAACAATCAAGTTGGTTTCATACATACTTGCTGAAATATGTAAAAAAAAGTTTATTTACTCTTTAGTGCTGTTCATAACTATAACTAATGAGTCTCTGTTAACGTAGTTACTTGCTGAATAGGCGCCACAATATAGTTTGAATTATGAAAAGATGTTCCTAATTTCATTATGATGAAATGAATCTTCAAGATATATTCCACTGAATATTCCAGAAATCATTTGTTGTAAAGTTTTGTACTTCATTCTTATTGATAAGTGTAATGAAACTAATCAATGTAAACTTTTAGTCAGTCGGGTTTATGTGACCTAGGTAAATCCAATTTTTTTAAACAGTTGGTTATGACACAACATGAAACTAGATTATTATCTGTCAATCGTATTCTGAGGATGTACTTGTACAAACGTATAGTCCTTTTCTTCATTTCGAACTTCGTTGTGAATTCCACAAATGCATATGGCATTTCTAATGAGTTCAATCCAATGTTCCCAAATCCAACTAGTATTAGATAATAAAAAAATACTTCGGATTTATGAGTTGCTTTCCCTATTACAGCTTCTTTTGCAGATAACCATGTGATTAATTCTCGAAAATCCTCCATGTACCATCTATAGATTACAAATGATTCCTTATAATTTGAACTACGCACAGGTGTACTGTAGTTATGCTTGATACATCAGTCAGCGACGTTGAACGAGATACAGGAGTTTTAGTAATTTCATACAAAACTGATAACGTTATTTGTATCACCATAAGCATTGGACGAGCAAAGAATGAAATCTGCTCTTATTACGTTCTTATGTCAACATAAAATTCATTATAAAGGAGTTCATTCCGTTTGACTTTACATGTTTTGATTATCAGTCTGTGTTCTCGATTTCATTGCATTTCAAAACAGTTCAGTATTATTGTTATTATCAAATAACAATTCAAAGATTGAAGACCTCAGCATCTGAGGGAAAACACAGCATACAATGGACAGCTCAGAATCAGTTAGACGATTTGGACTTCGCACACAACCTAGCCCACCTATCGCATACACATGAACAAATGCGGATGAAGAAAACGAGTGTAGCAGCAGTCTGTGCATCAGTAGGCTTCAACATACACAAAGGAAAAGCAAGATCCTCAAACGCAACATGGAGAACACTAACCCAATCACATTTGATGGCAAAACTCTGGAAGATGTAAAATCTTTCACGTACCTAGGAAGCATTATCGATCAACAAAGAGGTTTGGATGCAGATGTAAAGGCAAGGATTGGCAAAGCAAGGGCCGCATTCCTACAATTGAATAACATATGGAATTCAAAACAACTTTCAACCAATATCAAAGTGAGAATCTTTAATACGAACGTCAAGGCAGTTCTACTGTATGGAGCTGAAACTTGGAGAACTACAACAACCACAATCAAGAAAGTACAAGTATTTATAAATAGCTGTCTACGCAAGATACTCAAAATCCGTTGGCCGGATACCATCAGCAACAGCCTTCTGTGGGAGAGAACAAACCAGCTTCCAGCTGAAGAAGAAATTAGGAAAAGACGATGGAAATGGATAGAACATACATTACGCAAATCGTCAAACTGCATCGCGAGACAAGCCCTAACTTGGAATCCTGAAGGGAGGCGGAAAAGTGGAAGGCTAAAGAACATATTACATCAAGATTTGGAAGCAGAAATGAATAGGGTGAAGACCAACTGGAATGAACTGGATAGGACTGCACAGGAAAGGGTTGGATGGAGAATACTGGTGAGCGGCCTATGCTCCTTCATGATAAGTAACAGACGTAAATAAGTAAATAAGATCTTTGAATTCTAACCTTAATCATAAATAGTTCTTTTTTGTGCTCTAATGTTTCTCAATCGGTAATTAACTTTATTTCCTTACTTTACTTACTTACGCCTGTTACTCCTCGTGAAAGAGCATAGGCCGCTCACCAGCATTCTCCATTCAACCTTGTCCTGGGCAATCCTTTCCAGCTCCTTCTAGTTGTTATTCATCCTTTTCATATCTTCTCGTGGAGCAATGGTAGCGCGTCTGACTCCAGATCAGAAGGTTGCGTGTTCGATTCACGTCGGACTCAGTGATTAACTCCGCCTGTAGCTCTTGTAGAGTTACTGCCGGTCCCAAGCCCGTGTAAAGGAGAAGGGTTGGGCATGGGGTTAGCGTCCCCATCCCGTAGAAAACTAACTCTCTAAAAAAACGCTAACCAGAAAAACTTTATTTCCGATCTTGTTTAAGTCGATATTTGTCTAAACAACAACAAGCCAACTGATCTAATTGATTATTTGAGAAACAAAGAAAAAAAAGAGAAAAACGAAAACAAAACAAACCAACTTATCAAAAAGACAATTCATTGGTATTTTTCTATTATTCAATGATGTAACATCCATTTGTCTAAATGAACAAAATAAAATTGAACGTGCAAATTAGAATTAAAAACAAACAAACAAACAAAAAAAAACAAAAAAAGAAAAGAAAAGAAAGAAAACAGACATATTCATGTAGTTTATGAAAAAATGTTTTACTTTTATCAGAAATATCAGTAGTATGTAACTAAGTAAGTATATTGAATATTGAACAAGATTTATATTAAGAGGTAGTACTTTCTTTTCTTCTTTTTTTCTCTTTCTTTTTCTTTTCTTTTCTTTTCAAGAAAAAAAAAGAAATGCGAAATGTCTTAAGGCACCGGGTAATATGAATTTGTTCTACATATACATATATGGGTTTACCTGTAAGATAAGGAATGTTCATTTCCATGTGTTGATTTTTTTTCACTTATTTATATACAAGTAATAAGTAGTATAAGAAATACTCACAAAAATAAATATCCCATCATTTTTTTTCGTTTTATTTTGTTTTGAAACACTTCAAATACATCATCTAAATCTTGGGCGCCAAATTGATGTGAAACATTAAAACAGGAAGAATGTTGTATTGGGATCCAATTACCAAATGAAAATGTTTGGATTTACTTTAAATTGAATTCACTGTGATTTGACAAATACAACATTCTTCCTCTTTATTAGGATGATCTTTGGTTGTTGTTGTTGTCGTCGTCGTCATAGTAGTAGTAGTAGTATTCTATGTTCAATTACAACCTTAACATTAAACTATTAACCGGTATGTTATATACATTATTATTCAGGTTGTGAAGTGACATGTAATTCAGCTAAACGTGTTAATGCAATACGTGTTATAGTTTCATTTGTATCTCCTATTGATGATATAGAATTAATATTAGATCCTGTAATACCAGTGGTTGATCTTCTTCTTCTTCTTATGATAGAATTTGGTTTCATTTCACTTTCATTTGTTTCATCCATTGATGATGCTTGTCGCATAACAAAATTGAAATATCGATTATTATGTTCTGTATTATTTCCAGATGTTATTCCATTCAATTCATCAGTGAATGGTGTTTGTTTAATGAAAGATTTTAAATAACGTTTATTCACATTTATTGTTGTATCATTTGTAGATACTACTGAAATCTGCTCATTTGTTGAATTCATATCTTTAATTTCAATTGAATTATCAAATAGTGTTGGTAACCAACTACTAGCTGGCATAGATGCATATTGTGTATCGATTTCATTAGAAAAACTTGTCCAATAGGCAGAATGTAATTGTGCAACTTTTAATAAAGTTTGTATTGCTGAAGGATGTGGGACTCGATCTAATTCGGATTGTTTTAAAGGAATTAAATCTGGAACATTGATAGGTATTGAATTTCTTTCATTTATTTCAGCTGCTGATCTAAGTAATGCTCGTACACAAGCTTCGGTACAATCACAAAGACTGTTCATATCATAACCACCTTCTAGGGATAACACTACTTTGGAATTAGCAATACGATCAATTGATAATAGACGTGTCATCCAACCAAAAGCAGCTGGACTTACTGAATAACCACCGAGATTAGCTGAATGACCGGGAGCGGCGTCGAAACCAGCGGAAATTAAAACAAGACTAGGTTGAAATTCACAGGCGACGGGTAGAATAATCAAACGAAATGCTGCTAAATACTCGGCATCAGACATAACTATTCCTGATGGCCAAGCAATATTAATGGTAAATCCCTCACCAGGACCAGAGCCTATCTCTTCAGGTGATCCAGTACCGGGGAAAAATCCCCCTTCATCATGTCTGTGAAGTGATATGTACAATACAGTTGGATCTGTGTAAAATACTGTTTGAGTCCCGTTTCCATGATGAATATCCCAGTCTACTATTAAAATACGTGGTTTGAGTGCGGATTCCATAGTGTATGGGAGAAACGTTGATTGATCAAACAAGGTGGTTGCTAAAGAAGAAATTACAGAGCTTCTTTCAGTATCTAGTGCTGTTGAACCAAGGAATTGAGCTCGTTTAGCAGCAATTGCCACTGAGTTGAAATAACAAAATCCCATAGCTTGACCTGGTTCTGCATGGTGTCCGGGTGGTCTTACTAAAGCAAAACCATTGGGACATTGACCAAGCATTACACGACATGCCAAATCAATAACACAACCAGCTGCCAGTCTCGCTGCATGAGCTGTATGTCCAGCAGTATGCCAAGCTGTATCAGAATCTACACCAACCCCGCCACAGGCTAGCCTACATAAACGTACTGTGGCTAAAAGAGTTGGATCAATCCGACATCTGCTTGCTGGATTACTTCCAAATAAAACTGTGTACACATCTTTGTGAACTAATTGCAATTCAATCAAAGATGCTCGTCTGCCAGGTTGATGATGACACTGTGCCGCCAAACCAGTTTGCTATAAATCAAAATAATGATCAAAAAGACAACAGTATTACTTGAAACAAAATAATTTATGTTAAAATGAACAATCCATATCTAAACATTCAAATTTAAAACTTTCCAACTATTGAATTTGACGATTGTACGTTCAATAGAGACTTATGCTTGAGTATGCTGACTAGTCGAACAAATCCCAATACTGAAAATATACCATAAGTTTCACATGTGAATTCACTATGAATCAATATTTGTACTATTGTGCGTTTTTACAAGAGCCAAAACTCTATTTCAATAATTGAAATCATGAGTCAATTGAAGCTAGACCACCATGGAAAACCTAGACGCACTGGACGTTAGATTCGTCCTAGTATGGAACTCCTCAGAAGTGCGCATCCATGATCGCGCTGCCCGCGAGATTCGAACCCAGGATCTATCAGTCTCGCAGGAGGCGGGATCGTAGATGCGTACTTCTGAGGAGTTCCATACTTGGACGAAACGACCGTCCAGTGCTTCCAGGTTTTCCATGGTGGTCTAGCTTCAATTGACTCATGGTTTCAACTAGTGAAATTTCTAAAATCTCCACAAAACCCCTCCTGATAAAACTCTATTTACCTAAATGGGTAAGTGAGTTTCGCTCCAAAATTCGAGACCTGCTATCTAACACCTGATTGGTTCGTTCATAAATTATAGTCTTACCGAAATAAATATAAAAGAAACATGTTTTAAGGTGTTATTGTATTCGTAATGAATTCCAGTTCATTTTACTTGACATTTTCATAATTTACTCTGTTGTTGTTTAGTGAACGACAACACGGGTGAAAACAGTCGATAAGTTCAGCATAAAATTATAGAGTTGCATTGGTAAAATAGAGAAACCATACTCTAATACTTCATTTGCAAAATTTTCATTGTCCCTTCGTTTCTACATCAATCATTCTCTATTCTCGTTCTCTTTTCTTTGATCTTCTTAACCTTCTGCCACTAGGCATTCTATTCCTGACTGGCATTACATACTACTTATAGTCGACATAAGTAGCACACACTATAGTTGTGACCAACTGATACTCAATGAATTAATATATTAAAAACACAATTGTATGAATGAAGAATATTTTTTTCAATGAATTTCTCATCAGGTTCTACAATTATAAGCTTCAACTGACTCATGATTTCAATCTGTGAAATTTACTAAAATCTCCACAAAACTCATTCGGATAATAATCAACTGCTCACTAGTGACTGACTTCAGGAGAACCTCCTGGAGTTCTAGTGAGAAGCCGTCACCAGTGGAGTTCAATCAGGTCTGTTGTGAGATATCAGCTCACTGAAGACATTGGTATTCGATGGCGCAACTTCGTGGATTGGTTGAAGTTAGGCATTAACACCGTTGGATGCCAGCCGGCTCAGTGGTCTAATGGTTAAGTGCTCGCGCGCGAAGCCAGTAGGTCCTGGGTTCGAATCCTGCAGGGGGCGGTTTCGTGGATGCGCACTGCTGAGGAGTCCCGTGCTAGGACGAAACGGCCGTCCAGTGCTTCCAGGTTTCCCATGGAGGTCTAGCTTCAACTGACTCATGATTTCAACCTGTGAAATTATAAATTCAGATTAATAATCCATAAAATTGGCCAGATTTAAGGCACAGAGTACATCATCATTTGGAAATTGTGAATATGTGAATCAGGAATTGTTGTTTATTATATAAAATAAAATCGTTAATGTTGAAGCTGACTAATATAAAGTAGTGTTAACTTGAATCAGTTTCTAAGCGAAATGAAATTGTGAGATAAATCATGATCAGAATAAATATGGTCAACATGGGGTTACTGAGAGAGAGAGAGAGAGGGAATATTGTGATTACAAATCTGAAATTACGTAATATGTAAAATAATTGAGATGGTGGAGAAGATTTGTAGCTCAGGTGGATGATTTTGGTGGAGTTTTGTTCTCTGAGCTGAATGGTTTGGTCCAGCTCAGAGAACGAAACTCCACCAAAATGTAAAATAATTAGGTCAACTATAGTAGATTCAGGAGTGGATATTGAATAAATTCCTCAAAAAGGGGTTATCAAGTGTAAAGACAATAATAGTAATAATAATAATAAGTTTGGGACCTAAAATGAACATTAACCAGATTACGTCACCGCATTATAAGATTGATTATTAGCTAGTTGGCCAGGGTAAAAGGAGTGGCTGAACATACTTTTTTGAATACAAAGCTCTAGCTTTTTGATTCGAATAGCCATTGCTTCAGCCGTCTGTAGGATTCTCAGTCTGACGGAATTAGGTAGACTGCTGTTGACACGATAGACTATTACAAAAGATTGCTCCATGTTGTCTGTATGTCCTGTTTGGACTAAATGGTCTAAGATGGAGCTGTCAACAGTTTTGACAACACCATTGCTTAACCACACGGGTAGGTGCTCACGAGCCCGAATGTATATATATATATAATATATATTAATTCTCTGAAGAATTTTCAATTAAATCAATCTATACTACTCGAAACAATCATGATTAATATCGATATTTCAAACTCTTATCCAAACAGAATATAAACCAAAGTCTAATATTGACAAAATGTTTACTGTAAGTTGATTGATGAGACATTTTAATCAAGGTACTATAGTTGAGTATCTGTAGAAGGTAAATATTACAAAAGAGGAAAGTTGAAAGTGGGTTGGACCACTTTTCTAAAAAGTGGAATTGGGAAAGAGATTTATCCTTATTCCTATAATCAAAAATTACGTTCATCCAAACATAATCGTGCATATTAACACCTGGAAAGCCTACAGATATATTGAGATATCAACATGAAGTCATTAACTGCCATTGATATTACATAGATCACCTTGGTACAGTTCATACTTAAACGGTGGATAAAATGTTAAAGTAGTTGTAAACTGATTCCGGGTGGATATCAGATGTTGGTCCCTAGGCAAGTCAACGGAACTATGGAGGTCAGCGCGTTGCAGACTCGACATTTTGACGGAGAGTGTGGCACAGATTGAAAAGAAGAAGAAAGTGGCACGGCGAGGAGAACCACCGCAAGAATGAGTGCTTTAAAGAAGGGATGAGTGAGGTGTGGGTTACTTATATCCACATAAGTAGTATATAACGGTGATCAGGCATAGAATGTATTTCAGTAGAAGATCAATAAGGAAAGAACAGAAACGATACGAAATTGGTAGGAAAATGCATGAACAATAAAATCTGAGACAATGGACTGATATTTACAAAAAGAACAGTCAAATTTGATACGATGGATTGATATTTTGCAAATTAACTATTTAATGTATGGTTCTCTGATTTTAGTGAAATGCTTTGTAAGGGTATGGACATGTACATTCAAACGTCACCACTTTCGTTCTTGTTCACTACACTGTAAGAAGGATAAAACTTGAAGCAATTAGTCCCTTTTATAAATTTCGATAGAACAATGAGAAGACGGAGTTGATCTGAAAAATGGAATGTATTTGCGCTATACATTTCGAACAATCTGGTCACACACATATACTTGTCAAGGCATTTTTATACGAAAATTAATAAAGGTCAACTAAATGAAAGTTCAAGTAAAAAAGTAACAAAGGGGGAGAGAAAGAATAAGAAATTGTCGCGTTATCCTAGGCCATAGAATGACTTAAGGATTACCAAGTTACATTCAAGGTTACGACAAATCGTTTTTGTACACATAAGGGGGGGGGATTAAATTTACGAATAGCCAAGGCTTCAATAAACTTAAGAATTCGTCCTTGACAATCTCTATACAACATTCTAAAAGCCGTATGTATGTCAATTTTGTACCCCATTTCAATTATATGTTTCGCTATCGATGAACCAGATTGTTCGAAATGTATAGCACAAATACATCACATTTTTCAGATCAACTCCGTCTTCTCATTGTTCTATGTAGATAAAACTTAGTCGTGTAGATGGATTTCTTGTGGTCACTGTATTCAAAACAGAAGAACCTATTCTGAACATGGAAGAGCTTATTACAGACATAGATTCATAGAAAGTTACCATTTATTATTGTAAATCATTCCTATACATATGATAGGCTATTAAAGTTTAATTACTATTCAATATATTATAAATGGATTGTACTTGGTTACATGAGTTCATGTTTCATATCAGAGAAAATTGACTAGAATTATTCAGTTATTATTCATATGGCTTATCACTAAGGATTTACATGGGATAAAGTTTTAATTACTCATTTTTAGCTTCTCAATTCAATGAACAGTTATCGACTAAAGTGTTTATTACAAGAATCGATGTTGTTTAAATAGGTGCTCATTATTTTTGTTTCATTTACAAAAATTAGTTGGCGTTTTTTTAGCGAGTTAGTTTTCTACGGGAACTCAAAACAACTGTCAACCAACACCAAGGTCAGAATTTTCAATACAAATGTTAAGACATTGCCACTGTATGGGTTAGAAACCTGGAAAACTACGAAATCCATCATCCAGAAGATACAAGTGTTTATTAACAGTTGTCTACACAAAATACTTCGGATGCGCTAGTCAGACACTATTAGCAACAACCTACTGTGGGAGGGAACAAACCAGGTCCCAGCAGGGTAAGAAATCAGGAAGAAGTGCTGGAAGTGGATAGGACACATATTGAGGAAAGCACCAAACTGCGTCACAAGACAAGCCCGTCACATGGTATCCTGAAGGCCAAAGTAAAAGAGGAAGACCAAAGAACACATTACGCCAAGAAATGGAGACAGATAGACATGGAATAAATGAACAAGAATTGGATGGAACTAGAACAGAAGGCGGAGGACAGAGTGGATTGAAGAATGCTTGTCGGCGGCCTATCCTCCATTAGGAGTAACAAGCGTAAGTAAGTAGAAAAAATTACAAAATTTGGAGTAGTGAATTTGCGGTTATTACAGTAAGATTTCAATTCGTAAAGAGTAAGTTCCAACCTTAATCAATCAATAGTTGATGCGTATCAACAGCCTTCATAGAATAAATGGTATACAACTAAAACTTGACTATATAAACCCTTGTCT